ACTATAAGCCTAATCTAGATTATTTTAAAAGATCTAGATCTCTATTAACTAGATTCTATCTAATTTTCTAGATATAGACTCTAGATTCTAGAATCTCTAATCTACTTTTTTTTTTCAGTCTGTGGTCTTGCAGCTCTTTGATTGAAATCTGAGTGAGAAATCATTCAGCCATCGGAATCACATTTAGACATTTCTGATAAGTGACAGTACTTTAAGTGATCATAATTATTTACCTAATTATTAATTATAGACTACTTTTAATTATACCTATTTAGTGTTAAGTAGCCTAATTAAATCTAGATCTAATCTAGTTCTAACTTACCTCTACTCTAAACAATAGTAACTTTTTTTTTTTACTAGACTCACAATTTTAAAAACAAATGGTTTTTTTTTTTTTGTGTAAAATAAACCTAGTAGGCGTAGTCTATTTATTTTAAAATAAACCTTATGCTTAGATATCTATATCTAAATTTTCCAAATGTATTTTCAGAAGTTCGAATGAGGAGATGGAGATGGCTGGGCCATGTCCTTCGCATGAGCAAAAGATGACTCCCCAACATGGCACTGGAAAACGAAAGAGAGGAAGACCACTGGGAACATGGAGGAGATAGATGGAAGAAGAAGTGCAAGCTGCTGGCAAGACCTGGCATGAACTAAAGTGGCTCGCCCAAGACAGAGTGGAATGGCAGGGATTTGTTGCTGCCCTATACTCCACAGGGAGTGATGAGGATTAAGTAATTAATTTGTAATAGACTACTAATGTAACAGACTTTTTTCTAACACTAATTGTTTATTTTAGTATACTAAGTCATGACTTGATTCATCAACTTACAGCTATAAAATACAGTTGCACAGAACTTCCTTTATAATTCATATTTTTCTACAATAAGTAAACTAAGAAAAGATACTAAATCATTGCAGAGAAAGCAGACACAGATCCAGTGTTGGAAGAGGAAGTATTTTACATAAAAGAAAAAAAAAACAACAGATGTCAAAGCAGGTATTGGCTGGTGCAGAAACAGCATGAAAGGGTAAGTTATTGATGATTTCAAACATAAAATATGCTAAATTGCAGGTTAGGTTTCAAAGAACAACTGGACATCTTCAGCAAGAGAATTGTGAACCAAGATTGATAGTGTTAAATGGGAGATGGATTTGCTGACAATGACAGAGTATTGAAGGAGATAGATGATGCTTTAAGAGGAGAAAGGGTCAAGATCTCAGTAAAGAATGACATTGTTCAGGCAGAGAATCTCAAACTGATTGAGGAGTTTGACAGGGTCATCGACACAAATCAGTTACAGCACAAAATAGACACAGACATTCAATCTCAAATGAAGCAAATGAAGAAAAAGTTGGAAGCTATGGAACGCAGAGATACTGAAAATTCCATCTATGATGTGTTGTCTGGATCGAATGTCTCAGTAAACCATCCCCTATTTCGTGGTGTTGACAGAAGCTGAAACCCTCTTTGTCAAGAATTGTGGGTGGTAAAGACCTGGTTGTTGTCCAGCTGACTGACAAGTGGGAGCTAGATGATCAGAAAGTGCATCGCTATTATGTGAGGATTATTAACAGAGTACTAGCTAAAAAGAACAAGTCTGTTGTCTACACTGTAGGCTACTGGGCACTGGATGAGGATGAAGCTGAGGACTTTTGCCTACCTGCTGAGTCACTAATAGCTGACTTGATTAGTAGTGATTGATTTTTTATAGAATACATAAAAATTATATTGGCTATTACATTTACGCAGCAAAGCAAGTTAATTGAGTAGGTTAAAAAATAAAGGTTGGTATGTAATGACATGGTATTATTTTTTTTAATCTCTTTTTTTATATTTTACTTATGGTATTCTAATTTGATACACAGTATAGTGTAAACAAATCAAATAACTTTTTTTTTTCTTTGCAGATTTTTGTATCTTTCCTGGACTGATGACTTTCATTCAACCTGATCATTTTTTTATTTGCATCAACTAAAACTTGTTATATAAATCACTTTGTTGTACTCACACCTTAAACTTAAACCCATTATTACTTTTGTACTTTTCATTGATAATTGAAATTTATATAATTGCATCTAAATCTAATAAATAAATATTTTTGGAAAGCAAACCATTTTGATTCTTTTTATCTTTTGTTTGAATTTGAAACCAGGTCTTGTATAAGAAATTATACTGGTGGGTCTGTGAGTAACACCATGTTTGCACTTACCACATGAATACTATACATGTCTAGAAAAAAACAACAATCTCCAATGAGTAAGCCTTCATATACATGTTCTGATAAAATAAGCTTATGCTGAAGTTTTTTCTCTAGACTTGCGCAATTCACAGTGCAACAACAATTATTGGAAGTAAGCAGTCCATTAATAAATAAATATATATTTATTAGACACCAAATTACATATTGAATATTTAGAATGAATAAATAATCATAGTGGTGAGAGATAATGGTTCCATTAATTAGTATCACTAGCTTAACAGATGAATTTTTATAACTTACTATAATGTGTTCAAGCAAGGTTAATATTGATAATCAATAGGCCTTACTATAAGAAGCAGCTGAACACCTTTGTAGAGGGTCTATATAAACTATATTATAACATTTTCACTATTTTAGACGATGGTATTGGTATGAAATTGTTGGTCATGTAGGGCCCTACACAAATGTTAAAACCTAATAATAGAAAAAAAAAATATTTTGCTACTACTAGGCCTACATGGTGGTTGTAATTCAAGTTTTCAGTAGGCCTATGCCTAATAATTTATTCAATTATTAATAGGCCTAGTTGTGTATAGTAAATAAAATTTTGATTAGTCAAACTCATAATAAAATACTACATTAACAATTTATAGTAAAATGACGAAAAGTCCGAAAATATAATTTGACGCGTATGACGTCATCAAGTTGTGTACTACCAATATCGGAGACACTTTTTTTTTTTAATGTAAGAGGAAAAATAATGGTGGCAGGTTAATCCAAATTTTTTATAAACACAAAAATTTTAAAATCGAAATAGGCTAAATAAACTTTTCCTAGACACACACAGAGTATAAAAAGTAGTTTCAGTAAAAAATTACGCGTCGATCGGTATCTTTTCCTCCCGAAACTAACGAATTTTCAATTTTCGAAATACACGCTACCTATGTTAGTATAAGTATGTGTAGACTAGTGTAGAGTGTAGAGCTGTAAAATAGTAAAATAGTATGTAGCCTAGGTAGAGAACAATTTTTGTTTTCAGACAGACTGTTAAGCACAAATTTATTTAAAGACGTTAATTAATTTATTGATTTATTCATTGGTAGATTAACCACATTAATTTTAAAAGTTTAGAAAAATTACTTTGAGTGAATAGTGACGTCACATGATTTGTTTACTTTTTAGTACAATAAATTGCGGCTCCAATACAAGATTTCGTTGCTTATTCAGATCTTTAGGCCTAACACGTTATTAAGCTAATTTTCTGTCGGCTATAACTTTTACAATACGTCCTTTTGCTGTATTTATTACGTTCCAACAGTTATATGCATTTTCAACTGTCTTTTTCATTTAGTTTTACAATAAAGTTCTCTAGCTCTACAATTTGTCCAAGAAAGTTATTTATAGATCTAGATCTAGAATCCAGGTCAAACCAAAGATTAATTAGTTAAAAATACAATCCATTTTAAAATCATAATACCGTTTTGAGTTTCTTTATTAAACTACTTTAGTCCTTAAATACTTGATATAAATCTTTGTAATTTATCTATCTAGATCTAGAATAGGTCTAATCTAGATATAGCAAGAGTTACGCAAAAACTAGACTTAAGGGGGCAGTATCACCCAGAAATTTGAAAATTGACGAAAAAATTTGCCAAAAAAAAACTATTATACATACACACATAAATCTTTTACCATAATAGTAAATAGCAAGGAGCTATAATACAGCACATAAAAGAAAGTTAACGTATGATGCAAACATTTTTTATAAATAATTTTACCTAAAAATGTTTATTAAGTAATTTTTGGCTGCGGTTTTCTAACATTTAGGCCCTTCCTTCCGAAAATACTCTGGGAGATGCATCACAGGGTTGCCTATGTCCGGGACTAGGAGATATCCATTGTGACTGATTTTGAAAATTTTAGAATTTTTCAAAGTCAGACCCAAAATGTTTGAACTTTGAAATTTCCTAAAAAATTTATCTCTAAATAGAATACTATTATCTTAGTCCCGGACGTAGCCATTAACGCAAGGAAGGTTTATACCAAATTTTAAGTACTTTACTTATGGTTTCGAAAAAATGTTTACCAAAAATTAAAAATGTGATAAAATATTAACAAAATAATTTTTTGACAATTTATTGCCACACATATACCCTACAATTTATATACTGTATTATAGCAGAAGAAACGTTACTATCGCTGTAAAAATTTGACATGTGTATGTCAAATAGTTTTTTTTTGGTGATAGTTTTTGTTTCCCTCCCCTAGTCTGGGTGATACTGCCCCCTTAAGCAAACCAGTCGTAGAATCTAGATAATTCTATCTAGATCTAAATAATAATGAGTTTCTATACTAAACTATTTCAGACCTTCATTATTTTATATAAATCTTTGTTTGCTTAGCTATGGAATTGGCTAATTTAAGATAAAATTTAATTTGAAAGTTACTAGACTTAGATCTAGATCTAGAGATAGGGCCTATGCCCGTAAATCAAGTTGCGTAAGGAGACTCAACATATTATTATATAGCACAATAAAACATCAGTGACATCGCGAGTCTAGATAGCTAAGTTGTTAGTGTAATAGGCTTTCATGCGGATGGCATTGATTCTAGACACATCACGTCAATGTTAAAAAAAAAAAAATTCAATTTGTTTTTTTTTAGATGTAAATGATAAAGTTGCCTATCTGAACTTGGCGGGATGCAGGGCAAGTGAAGTAAAGTTCATCTGTTTCTTTGTCCTAAGCATATGCAGGGATAGTGTGGTCAGAGACCGGAATCGTTTTTTTAAATGATAAAAACATGTAGTCTGAGACTAGGCGGGACACTGGGCAGGTGATGTAGAGTTGAGTGACGTCAGTATATGAAGGGATAGTGTGGTCAGACCTATGCTCAGCCAAAATCAGTGTTTTTAAAAGATAAAAAAACGTCTTTTTAAATGTGGGGTCTGGTTATTTTGTGATGATAAGTGACAGACGTGATGACCCCCGAAACCCACAGTTATCTCTAAGGGATGACCGGGTAAGTCTTGTTGACTTTAAAAGTTTAATCTTCACCATACGTCATAGTTCGGGGTATAGCTATTTGAAATGGTGTTGGCCTCAGTTTTGGGGTCATTGTGAGTTCATAAAAGCATGGGAGATACTTGTATCAATACAAACGTAACCGCCTTGCAACTATGAGTTTCGTACTTCACCCATTGCTATGAATATCTTGTCACAGTCACACAAACATAGCACATTATTCCAAATTTGGAATTTTTCTCAAGTTTTGACAAAAGTAAATTATTCAAACTAATACAAAACTTCATAAAGAAATAAGCCCAATGTTTTCCTACTTTTTTGTGTCTTTCGGTTGTGTTTATAATAAAATACGCTCAACTGGAGATGAACGCAAAGAGGCGAATAAAATATGCTTAAATGGAGTTCTACTATCAATTTCTCCTAGCCTATTCATTAGTTTTTATACAAATACGAAATTAAATAATAAATTAGCTTAGACCTACATAATCATATAGGCCTACATTATTTCATTATCATGAAACTTTAGTAGTGCACTAGAATAATGGTACAGCACTGTTAGAATATGATGATTTACTACAGGCTAATTTCAATATTGTACTAAAACTAAGTAGTAAGTACTTCTTTGTTGCTACTATAAAAATAATGATTAAACTTGGTATATTCATTCTGGTATAAGAAAGCTAGTATACATATTTTACATGTAATATATAGAGATAGAGCCTATAAAATACAGTTCAATTATTGAAATACTTAACTATTTGCCATAAACTTTGCATTTGTGTCAGTGTATTAATGACATGGTAACTCACAGTATTCTTCATCAGAAAATGTTTAGTAAAGTTAACATTCCTTTGATAAATTCTTAAAATCACATTAATTAAATAAAGTGTTCATGTTTCTGTGTTGAAATTTTCTTCTCATTATAGTTGCCTATAACTAAAACAGTGTAGACTGCAGCTTATAAAAATGGACATTATAATTTTTAATTTAGGCCTAATAGAGTTTTTTTTTGTATATTTACACATCTCTAGACTCTAGACCCACTATTGTTTTAGCATTTTCATTTCCATTTAGATCTAGATCTTTTTTATGTGCAATAAATCTATATCTACTTGAAAATGCCCTTTTATAATCTATTTATCTGCCCAGAAATCCTATCTTATCTACAATTCATTTATTGCTTATGGTTTTCAGACAATGTAAAACAGGAGCTAATTCATTCATTAATAAATATAGTTTATTTAAAATATGAAATACTACTCAAATCTTCGTATCGAATACATTTTATTCTTCGATTCCTATGGCAAGAATTAACATTTTAAAAAAAAGGGGGAATCTCTACAAGTACGCATGAAAAAATCTGGAAGTGGTCATAACGCATTAAAACTCGAAATGGCTAAGTATAGAGATCTTACTATAGGGACGGAGTGGTCTAGCGGTAGAGAGCTGGACTGCTAATAGCATCCGTAAGTCTCAAGTTCGAATCCGGGTTCAAGTCAGTAGACCGTCCCTGAGTCCACCCAACTCTGATGGGTACCTAACTCATGTTAGGGAAATTAAAGGCGGTTGGGCATAGTGCTGACCACACTATTTCTTCATATGCCGAGGTCACAGAGACAAGTGAACTCTACTTCACTTGCCCTATATACCGTCAGGTTTGAAAGGGAACTTTACCTTAATTGCTTATACTATACTATACTATATTAGACGATAGGAATATAGAGTTCTATAAACTAATCTACATCTACTAGGCTACAAGAAAGGTAAAGAATCCTCTTTAGACCTAGCAATCCATTAGGGAGATAAAGTAGAGTTCATGTGTTTGTTGTTTCAATTTCATTTGGTTTTCATTTTAATTTATGGGATACATATGTCACCAGGTCCTCAAAGGGTAATGTAACATCCATTACCACTTCTACATATTGTCCTCTCCAGTTTTTTTTTTTTTTTTCAGCATGGAAGTGCTAAAACCAGAGATTATTTTAGTTGGAAAGAGAAGGTATAGGAAAAATGATTACATAAGAAAAGAAACTTTTATCTCTGATGATAAAGCATTCCATAATGGTAAGCAAACATAATATTTGTATTGCAATTTTATTTTTAATTGACATTTAGTGGTTTTAAGTATGATTTCAATTATGGTAATTTATTGACTTGATTAGTTATTTCAAAAAATCAATAGAAATGGCACCCTTAAATTGGTTAGAAGGCTATCAAGGAAGTTGTATAGATTTCTTTATTATAAAGACTACAGTGTTACTGAAAAAATTCTC